GAGCAGGGAGCCTGATGCGGGACTCGATCCCAGGACCCTGAGATCATGACCTGAGCCGAAGGCAGACGCTTAACCATCTGAGCCACCCAGGCGCCCTCACCAACAAAAAATTCAACTTAAAAGCAGGCAAAGGACATGAACAGACATTTCTCCGAAGAAGATACACAGATGGCCAAGAAGCACGTGCAAGATGCTCAGCATTGCTGGTCATTAGGGAAGTGCAAATCTAAACCACAATGAGATAGCACCTCACGCCTATTAGGACGGCTACTATCAACACAAACCAAACCACAGAAAATGACAGGTACTGGTGAGAGTGGAGAAACTGGAGCCCTTGTGCATTGCTGGCGGCAATGTAAAATGGCACAGCCATGGGGGAAAACAGTTTGGCAGATGCACAAAAAGCTAAACCATCCTATGAGTGCAGCGGTTCCAGTTCTAGGTGTATACCCCAAATAATTGAAAGCAGAGACTCAAACAGATGCTTGTATACCGGTGTTCATAGCAACGTTATTTACAATGACCAGAAGGTGGAGACATTCTGGATAAACAGAACGTGGTAATATACATAGAATAGGTTATACAGCCTTAAAAAGGAATGAAGATCTAACACACAGGCTACAGAGATGAACCTTGAAAACGTTTTGCTAGTTAAATAAGCCAGACACAAAATGACAAATATTGTATGATCCCACTTATATGACATACCAAGGAGAGGCAAATTCATAGAGACAGAAAGTAGGAGGGGGGTTGCTCAGGGATCGGGAGGAGGGGAATGGGGGAGTTAGTGTTTAATGGGGACAGAGTTCCGGTTTAGGGCAGTAAGGTTCTGGAGGTGGATAAGTAGTGATTGTTGCACAACATTGTGAATGTATTTAATGCCATTGAATTGTCACTTAAAACTGGTAAATTTTATGTCATAATTGTATATATCCATACATAAATTGTATTTATCCACAATTGAAAACCAAACCAAACCGAGAAAAGAGGGAATGGCAGGAAGAGGGATTGGAGACAGCTAGTGGTGAAGACTCTTTCAACGAGTTTTCCTACAAAGGGGCAGTAGGTGGCAGAGAAGATGGGGACAGGAGAGGGGGTTTCATTTTATTTCTGGTTGTGAGAGGAGAAATAGCATATTTACGTAGGCTAATGGCAGTGAACTATTAGTGGGGAGACTGAAGGTGCAGGGAAAGGGGCTGTTCAGAGCCCTGAGCTGGGGCCGGTGCACACGTGAGGGTTGGCTTTAGCAAAGGATGCAGACATCTCACTCTCCAAGAGGTCAGGACTTTGGTCTGTGGGCGGAGCGCCAGGTAAGGTGGCTGGATGTGGTTGGAGGGGCTCGTAGAAGTTCTTTTCTTGAAGTTCCTCAAACTTCAAATCATGAAGAAAAGACAATACACCTTAAAAGAAAATTGGGCAAAGCACATGCGTTGATCATTCATAGAAGAGGAAGCTTAAGGGACTCCTGGGTGGCTCAGTCGGTGAAGCGTCTGCCTTTGGATCAGGTCATGATGCCAGGGTCCTGGGATCGAGCCCCGCATTGGGCTCCCTGCTCAGCGGGGAGCCTGCTCCTTCTTCTTCTAACCCTACCTCCTGCTCATGCTCTCTCTCTCTCTCTCTCAAATAAATAAGATCTTTAAAAAAAAAAAAAAAAAGGAATTGCGAAGGATGAAATTCTGAAATTTCACGTATTTCCGATGTGGTTTATATCTCTCACTCCATTTGTCCTGACCATTTATCCACTGGGCAGCCTAGAAAAAATCAAGCCCTTTCTGGGGGGACAGCTGCATGTCATAATCAAACTGTCTTCCTAAGGTGTGCGGACCAGGAAGGAGGAAGAGGAGGGACAGAGAGGCGTTGTTGCAAACTGCAAAGGCCCTAGAACGCCGATTGTACCCCGACACCCCTCGGGGGTCCTGAGTCGTCTGAGCTGGCAGGGGCACGCGGGGTCCCTGGGATGTGCCCTCCCCAACCGGCAGGAACACAGCGTCGGCCTACAGAGCCTCTCAGCAGCTGGGTTTCCAGTGGCCCCATCAGACGACAGGCTCTCTCCCGCGGGCACCTGTTCAGTGACCCAGAAGGTCCAGCCCAGCATCTTCGTACCCATTTTCGTAGCTCAGGGGCTGCGCGGAGTGGTGTCCGAAATCTGCATCAGGCCTGAGCCCAGGTCCCGTCTGCCACGCCTGAGCTGTGCGGCTGGCCAGTCCGAAGATTCTCGTCACTGACTTCCTGAAGAAGGAGCACGCCATTCCTCACCTCACTTTGGCGCTGCAGACCATCAAATGTGAGGTCCGGCAAGGGCCGGCGTTTCACCGGCGGCGGCGCCCGGTCTGGCCCAGTGCTTGGGGACAGCCTGACCCCGCCCAGGGCGCGGTGCCGCTCGGAGCCCTGCTCGTGGGGCCTGGGGCGCCGGAGCACTCCTTGATCCTGTCTCCCCGTCTGTCATGGGGGAATGATGTGAGCACATGAGGACGGAATGGGGGGCGGCCCTCCATCCTCAGACGCCCCGGGGGCCTTAGCCAGGAGCAGGGTGTGGCTGGGAGGGGCCGGAGCAGGGAGAGGCGACAGCGTGGCAGGCGGAGAGCCGTCGGGATGAATCATGGGGCTGAGGCAGGCTGACACCATAGCTTGCTGGAGGCAAGCCAGGAGGGGTGATTAAAAATACCCCACTTCCGATGCAAAGATAATAGGAAATGGCTCATCCGCAGCTCACGGGTAGGTAAATACATGTGCGCAAGGACCATCGGGGAAAGAGACAGAAAAATCTATTCGATCGTGTGACAGGCAGCGGGATAATGGGGATGCTCTTGCTGCTTTAATGTTGTGTTTGAGTTTTAAAAATAGATCTTTACAAGAGGATATATTTTGCCCCTGCCTGGCAGACAGCTCTTTTCGCTCCTTCCCCGAGGGAGGGTGTAGGGTCTCCTCAAATGTGCGGGTGGAGGCTACCGTCCGGAGAGTCTCTGTTCCCTTTGGCCACGATGAAATAAGTACCTACTGTGTGCCGTGCTGGGGGTCCCCTGCTCAGCCCAGAGGACCAGGACCTCAGTGCCCCTGACTTGAGGGGCCGTATAGTGTCCCTGGGTAGGGGCGCAGTCCTCCCATAAATATTTCCTGAGCACCTAATACGTAACCTTGTATCACTCACTCAGCGAATACCTGCTGTCTACCTACTGCCTCGGAGCCCCCAGCTCTGGGAACGCAGACTCAAGGCCAAGGCCGTCCAGCTCTCCTACACCTGCCTCTTCTAGTGGAGGGAGCAGGACATGAGTACAGGGTAATGTCAGACAAGGACTCATGCGCCGAAGAGACCGAAGCCCAAGGGTCCCCTGGCGGGAGAGACAGCAGCAGGTCAGGTGGGGCTGAATCGGCTGGGGCGGGGGGCCTTCCCTGGGAGACCCCCCAGCCCAGGCAGACCCGAGAGCAGCGGCCCTGGTCGGGGACGCAGTGAGCGCAAGGGCCCCCAGGGAGGCAACGCTGGCCACCCAGTCGTGTCCTCTGGGGACCAGAGACCTGGTCATTCCCGGGAGATGTGAGGGGAGGGTGGGCGGGCTGGAGACACCTCCCCGAGGGCCCTATGCAGGCAGCAGAAGGGGTTGGATTTGATCCCAGGAGCAACAGGGAGTCCCCGGAGGTCAGGACATAACCTAATCAATGGTTTTCTTTTTTAAGATTTTATTTATTTTATTATTCTTTAAAAAAGATTTTATTTATTTTACAGAGAGAGACACAGCGAGAGAGGGAACACAAGCAGGGGGAGTGGGAGAGGGAGAAGCAGGCTTCCCGCGGAGCAGGGAGCCCGATGTGGGATCATGACCTGAGCCGAAGGCAGACGCTTAACGACTGAGCCACCCAGGCGCCCCTTAAGATTTTATTTTTAAGTAACCTCTACACCCCATGTGGGCTCGAACTCACACCCCTGAGATCAAGAGTCACATGCTCTGCCAACTGAGCCGGCCAGATGCCCCGAACCAATGATTTTAAAAAGGGCCTCCGAGGGGCCCCTGGGTGACTCAGTCAGTTAAACTTCCTGCCTACGGCTCAGGTCATGATCCCAGGGTCCTGGGGTCGAGCCCCGTGTAGGGCTCCCCGCTCTGTGGGGAGTCTGCTTCTCCCTCTCCCTCTGCCCCTCTGCCCCTACCCACCCCCACTCATGCTCTCTCTCTCAAATAAATAAACAAAACCTTAAGAAATAAAAAAATAAACCAAAAGGGTCTCCGAGAGCTGGCAGGGACTGCAGTGACGTCACCCAGGGCGGAGGCCGCAGGCTTCTGGTAACCTAATCTCAGAAGTGAGATCGCAGCACTTTTCCTGCACTGTTTTTTAGAAGCGAGTCACCAGGTCTGGCCGGCCCTCTAGGAGAGGGGGTTCCACAAGGCAGGAGGTAGGTGTCACTGGGGCCCATCCGAGAGGCTGCCCCGAACACCTGAAGAGGAATTTGCTTTGTTCCCCAGGAACTAGAATCTCCTATTGTGATTTTTGCAAGTGTGAGTACCCCTGGGGCTCAGCATTCCTCTACCTTCCCTTCCCCGAATTGCTCTATAGTCAGCATGGGTCCCGAGGGCGCAAGCATGAACAGGCTGGGACCATGAGGCGGGACAGGAGGACACCTGCAGCCCAGAGCAGAGAGGAGGGGGGGCCCAGAGTTAAGATGGTGTGTGCGTCCCTCTTTAGCCAGACCCATCACCTGTCTTTCTTCTAGATATTTGCATTCCTTCTGGCCGCTTGAGAGAGCGTAGGGGTGGTCTTTGCTCCTTTTTTTTTTTTTAAGATTTTATTTATTTATTTGAGAGAGACACAGAGCACGAGCGAGGGGGAGGAGCAGAGGGCGATGGAGAAGCAGGCTTCCCGCCGAGCAGGGAGCCCGATGCGGGGCTCGATCCCAGGACCCTGGGCAGACGCTTAACCAACTGAGCCACCCAGGCACCCCAGCCTTTGTTTCCTCTGATTGAAGAGGTGGCAAGTGTCGTCCAGCCACACCAACTGAGAGGTCGCTAGAGGCCCAGGCCACACTGTCTTTTGAGACTCCTTGTAAATTAAAACCCAACAACCTCCAAAACAGGCTTCGGAATTCATGGCATATTGTAAAACCCCAATTTAACGAACTGAGAGCTTTGATATTCAGGAAACAGGAGGGAGTGTGACCGTGCTTTTCCCCAGGCCTGATGGAGTTTGCGAACGTTCGTGTGCCGGCCAGGAGGGGGCAGCATGTGGTTCAGAGATATGTGACAAGTGTCATCTTTATCCCGCACCTGCCTGTACAGCCTTTTTTAGAGATTACATCAAAAGTCTAAATTAGGGCCCTTTGCTCATTTATTTTTACATGATTTATATAGCACTTACTATGCGTCAAGCACTGTTGTAATGCTTTCAAAGAGGACCTTAATGGGGGCGCCTGGGTGGCTCAGTCGGTTAAGCATCTGCCTTCGGCTCAGGTCATGATCCCAGGGTCCTGGGACCGAGCCCCTCATCGGGCTCCCTGCTCAGCGGGGAATCTGCCTCTCCATCTGCCTCTCCCCCAGCTCATGAACTCTCTCACTCTCTCTCTCGCAAAAAAATAAACAAGCAAACAAACAAATAAATAAAATCTTAAAAAAAAAAAAAAAAGAGGAACTTAATGGCTTTGCTCTTTCTCTGGTTTCAATAAAGTGGAAGGATTGTCCAGCCAGGGCTCATCGGAGGTTGAGAGAGATGCAGGCCACTCCCAGTTTCAAAACAGAAGATGCCCCAACAGGCATTAAGATGTCATCTGCAAAACAACCCCAAAGGGAGGTAGGTGTTGTAATGATCCCCACTTCACAGAGGAGGAAACTGAGGCAGACAGGTGGGCATCCGTCCCAGGCCACATGTGGGTACGTGCACTGGCCCTTCTGGGCACCCTGCCCGTCCAGACAGGCTGTGGCCCCCATGTGTTCTGCAATGCTCTGGGGGGTGGGGGGCTTTGGGGAGGGTGTGGACAGGCTGCGCTGGGCTGCCAACACCTCGTTCCCCTGGGGGTGGCACGGACGCCCACCCCCTACATGTGTGTCAGACGAACGTGCAGGACAAGCGTGGTACACTCGCCCGAAATTGGGTCAGGGAACTCCTAGAGGGACATGGCCTGTGCCTGTGGACGGGGAGAGGCCCCCCAGTCGCTGCTCGCCCCGCCTGGCATCATTCCTGTGCCCGAGAGCATGGGGCACCCAGCATGCAGCGAGACCGTCTATGATTCAGAGCATGACATGAGAAGAACCTCCGAATGGACATCCAGCTGCGTGAGATGCGCGAGACCAGAGACCGTGTCTGGCAGGACCCCGCCCCCATCCCCCCTCTCTCTCCCAGGAATTTTCTAGCACAAGCCCAGTCTCCAGACCTTCCCTGGCCCCTAGGCTCCACTTTGGGGATTCTCCAACCTTCCAGAGACTGATCCAAGTGGTAGGCAGGTGCCCACTGCTCCTGACTTTCAGTATTTTTCAAAATGTGGCCCCGGGTCCTCTGCACCCGAATCAGCCGCAGGTGTGTGTAAATGCAGAGTCCTGGGCTGGCGCCCTGGCCCTTAGGGGCATCTGCATTTTGGTAAGGGCCACATGCCTCCCTGTGCAGGAAGGCCTCATGGGGAACTGCCGGGGATGGGGCCCTCGGCCGGTTTGTGAATTTGCTGGATCTTCAGTTCCGTCTCCTCCACTCCAGCCGTTATCGCCAAGCAAGCACCGTGTACCCCAGCACCCCTCCGTCCTCCCCACCCACTACTCCCCAGGAATGAAGCTGCCTTTGGGGCCCTGGGGGCCTCCACCCCAGGGCACAGAAGGAGCAGGTCAGCCAAGGGGATTTTGACTTGGACCAGCCCAGGAGAAGGAGCGTTTTAAACAAGGGTGCCCCTTCCTGGCCTTTGGAGTAATGAAGACACCCCAAGGGGCACCCCCTTGAAGCCTCCCGCCTTGCCCACCACCTCATCTCACCAGCGCTGGTGGCCCCCGCGGGCACAAGGCCGGGGGGCTGTACAGGAACCCATCCCGAGACCCCCCCAGGCCTGGAGACGGGCTCTGGCAGGAACACAGGCTGCCGCAGGGTAAAGGCTGGCCCAGCTCTGGAGGGACGGCTTCCCATGCTCAGCAGTCCTGGGCAGGTGCAGGGGAGGGAGACCCCATGGCCAGCAGCTCCCGCTCCCTTGAGCAGGGGGTCTGTTCCGGGGGGTGGGGAGGTCATCTTCCTGGGAGGAGGCACTTCCTCGTGCCAACTGAGGGCCCTGCTTTGTGAACTGAAGCTCTTCCTTCTTGTTCTGCCCTCCAGAGACTTGCTCAAATGATCAATACGCTTTTAATTAAACTCCCAACTGCTTCAAGAGGACTGTGTGGTCCCCTGGGTCATTTTTTTTTTCTTTCTTCGAACAAGCTTCTTCCGGTATCTTGTGCTGGGGATCACGTGGGCCCTTGGGGAGCCATCTGATCCTCTGAACTTCCCAGGTCAAAGCCTCTCTTGAGGGGGGGGGCCTTCTTAAAGGCTGTAACCCCAGCGGATCCCCTCTGGCAGAGGCCTGTGTTGAATGGGAGTTATTTTGTGTGTAATGTGCATGACATTCAGGGGCAGTGGCCTGGCTTCTGAAGTCAAAACCCCTCAGTGCTGGGCACTCTTGCTCCCAGTGCCCACCTCCCTGGCATACAGTAGGTGTTCAATAAATGCTCATTGCGTGAAAGGTGAGTTTTCCTTCTGCTGGAAACACCCCCCCCTCCCCCCAAGGGAGATGACCCAGAGAGGTTTGGTGAGTGACTCTCCACCTGCAGCTCCTGCCTGTGTGTGAGGCTCCCTTGTCTCCTACGCGGGGAATGGAGAAAAGAGACTTTCGTAGAGGTGTCCTCAAGGTGACTCAGAGGCAGGACACCGCCACCCAGGGGTCCGGCCTGGGATCTCCTGCTGAAGAGAGGAGACTCCAGCCACCGAGGTCAAGCAAAGAGCTTTTTATTCAGAGCACGAGGTGGAGGTTTGCGCCCAGCCTCCCTCCCTGTGGCCCTGGTCGTTTTGACAACAGCTACGATCCTGTCAGTTTGAGGCAAGCACAGTGTTAGGCTCTCAACAGCCGCTGCAGAGGGAAGGCCACCGTGTGGGTGGTGACAGGAGGACAGCGAGGACAGGAAGCTCGGGGTTGGACGGATCAGCACCCGCGTGGCCCCGTCCGGACCCCCCGAACGGGGTCTGACCGCAGGTAACAGGCCTCCGAAGCCACCGGGCACTCAGAGCTGGCTCAGGGGGGCTGCTGGAGCCTCAGCACCCCTGTGACCACGGGCCTGACGTTGCCAGCGGTGACCAGGGGACCCCCTTCCCTTATTCTAACGGCTGCCTCCTCCGGGGCTCCGGGGGGGCATTACTTTTCTCTGTGGTGTGGAGTCTTTGGTATACAGTTGGCCATGCTGGTGGCCCGGGGGCTGCCTTCCGGGTTAGGACAGCAAATAACAGGCCTCCGTGATGGGCAAGGGCTCTCCCAGAGTGGCTAGTGGCCTCGCCCTGCCCAGACTGCGAGGGAACAGCCTTCAGAGCCGACCAGGGCTCGGGCCATCGTCATGAGTAAATACTAAAGCTGATACGGACCAGGAGGATAGGCCTGCGGCCTGGTGGCTCTAGGTCCCTGCCATCCTCGTGGGATGTCCTCCCAGGGCTCTGCACTGGGATTAGGACGGGTGGCTCTGGGACCACCGACCCCTCCGAGTAGGTAACCCTGGGCCTCAACCAGGCTCATCCTGGTAGAGTGTGGGCTGTGTGTGTGTGTCCGTCTGTCTGTCTGTCTTCCCGGTTCGCCGGTCTGCAGTCCCTGGCCACCACCCACCCTCTCAGACAAAATGGTCCCCACCTTGTGAGAAGTGGCTTAAAACACAGGCCGGACAGATTTCTGGGCAGTTCATGCCCATGTGAGACTCTGTCCAGAGGGCAAGTGAACTAAGCTGTCAGGGGGAGGCCAGAGAGTCCCCATCTCCACAGGTCCTCTCCCCCTCCCCACCTCTGGACGGCTCCAAGCTGTCCACCTCAGTGACGATTCTAGGGTCTGTGGAACGGAATGGGGACTGAGTTTTGGCACCTCTGTTGTGACACGGTTACTGTCCTGACCCGTGTTTCCGACCTGGGCACGGCCCGCACGTGTGTGTGTCTAGCCCGGTTTGGGGTCCCCCTCACACCAAGCCCGAGCCGCGCAGGTCGCTATGGCAGCCGCGTCCTTCTCCTGGTTTAGACAAGCTCGGGGGTGGAGGGGAGCCTCGCCGGGGAACAGCTGGGATCCTGCAACCTTTCTGGGCTGGTCTGTCCTGATGTCAGCGTCCCACCCCAGGTCCCCAAGGCCAGCCCTGCTCTGTCCTTCCATCCTAACATCATGGCCGTCGTTCTCAAAAGCCAGGAGCCAGGGCCCAACCTTCCCAAGAGAAGACAGACATCCCAAGAAAAGCCAAAGGCAAGTTCTTTTCTGCCCCGATCCGAGCTTCCTTTGCTGGCGAGGCTGTGCCAGGTGCAGGGACGCCCCGTCTCGGAAGGACACCCAATCCCGCTCTGGGCAGACCCTCCTTGGATGGCCTCTGAGAGTCCCTCATCCTCCTGTCACGCTCTAGTCCCCCCGCCAAGACCTGGCCCAACCTGGGGAGAGGAGGAGGGGTACAGGGGATGGCAGAGGCCGTGAGCGGCCCGCGGGGAGCGGCAGGGGGGCAGGGGTGCGGGGCGGCGCGTCACGGCCACGCCGGGGCCACGACGCCTGCAGCCAGGTTGCCAGTGGCCTTTCAGTGCCTGGCTCTCCCCCCACGGCGGCGTCACTCATCTGTCACCTCCACGGAGTCCTCGTCCTTCCTCTCCTCCGACTGCTCCTCCGTGGTCTCCGTGTTGTCCGTGTCGGACAGCGAGGCCGCCTGCCGCACCCAGTCCCTGTCACGGAGAGGCTTTGGGTCGCACGGTCCGGAGAAGGGGTTGAGCCAGCTCGGGGAGAAGTCCCCACCAAAGGTCTCTTTCACCGACTTCCAGCTGCCCCTGCGCTCCCTGGGCTGGTGCTTTCGTTTGAGGCGCTCGATGCCCTGGAGGGACAACGGGATACAGAGGGTCGGGGGCGGGGGTGAGGGGGGCGGCCGGGACACAGCCCGCCCGGGGCCAGGTCAGTGGGGCGCGAGCGGGGAGCGGTGGGGGAGCGGTGGGGAGCGGCACAGCAAGCAGGGGCCGGGGTCCCCCCAGCCTCGCTAGGTCAGGCCAGGCTGCCGAGGCGCCCAGGGCCGAGGAGTAACATGGAACGGGCCCTGAGAGCACTAAGAAGTTGAGTCCTCCCTGGGGATTCTGGGCCACGCCCCCCCAGCAGGTGCAGCTGACTTAGCATGAAGAAGGGGTGCGGGCAGTAAGGGGAGAGCGCAGGGCACAAACACGGGGGCCGAGGAAGCAGACTGTGTGCACAAGCTAGCGCCAGCGTGCGGCGGGCAGCCGGGGGGCGCACAGGCTCGCTGTGGGGAGGCCCGGCTCGGGCGGCAGGCGCGCCCAGCGACTGCTCCCAAGCTGCCCACTCACCTGCTGCGGGCCATCGGTCGGCTGCGACTCAGCTGCCAGGCCCCAGAAAGAGGGTGTGGGGGGGAGGGGAGAAGCCCGCAGGAGTTAAAGGCACAGCCAGGTCAGCTCTCCAGGCCACAGCACCCTCCACAAAGGCTTTCAGCCCCACCGGGGCCTCTGCCTTCTCCACCTCTTCCGGAAGCCAAGGGAAATTGCTGGGGTTTGCCAGGCACGGGCACTGCTCATTCACACGACTCATTCCCCCTCAGAACGACCTCTGAGGACCTCGTTCTGGGTTCTCTCTTCTTTGCCACACAAGAGACTCACATAACTGGTATGATCCCTTCTGTTATGCAGAAAGAGAAACTGAGGCACACACACAGACTGAGACCTGCCCCATCCTCCGGGCCAGTTCTTTTCCAGAACTCTCTCTTCCCACTCCATCTCAGAGATTCAAGTTTCTCGGCTCTTGAAAAAAAATTGTCGTTTAAAGAATCTGATCTCAAGGTATTTCCTTGGAAGATACTAAGGACAAAGGGCAAACCAGTGAGGGAACTTTGCAGGTATCACCTTAACCGGATCAAAGGTAACATCGCCTCAGTGCCTTTCTTGCCCCAAACGCATAATCTAGTGATCTAATTGTGAGAAAACATTAGACAGACGCAAATCGAAGGATATTCTACCGGATACCTAGTCAAGGTGTCTCTAATCTTCAAAAGGGTCAAAGTCTGATGAAAATGCTTCGGAACCAGACAGAAGTGATGGCTGTGCGGCATTATGAGTATACTCAATGCCAATGAACTGCACACGCTAAAGCGGTTGGTTTTATGTTATGTGAATTTCATCTCAGTTTTAAAAAAGGGGGGTCGGGGCGCCTGGGTGGCTCAGTCGGTTAAGCGTCCGCCTTCGGCTCAGGTCACGATCCCAGGGTCCTGGGATCGAGCCCCGCATCGGGCTCCCTGCTCGGCGGGAAGCCTGCTTCTCCCTCTCCCACTCCCCCTGCTTGTGTTCCCTCTCTTGCTGTCTCTCTCAATCTGTGTCAAATAAATAAATAAAATCTTAAAAAAAAAAAAGTAAAAAAAAAAAATAAAAAAGGGGGGTCAAGTTCATGAAAGAAAGACAGGAGCGTCATGGATTGGAGCAGACGACACAGACATGACAAGCGATGCAATGGGACAGACAAGGGTCTCAGTGGGGGCACCTGGAGAAATCCGAATGAAGCATGGAGATCCGTTAAGGGTCGCAATCAATACTGTTCCCGGTTTTTGTATTTGTATTGTGGTTATATAAAATGGCTCCCTTTGGAAAGACTGAGGGAAGGATGTACAGGAGCTCTTTGTGCTGTTTTGCCACCTTTTTGTAAGTCGGAAATTACGTCACAATAAAAGGTTAAAAAAATAATCAGAGACACAAAGATGTGAGCAACAGAGTCTTCAACACCGAGTAACAACGTGACAAGCTGGAAACAATCGAAACGCCCATAAAGATGGCTAAGTCTGCGATTCTACAAAGTGAAACACAACACAGCTATGAAAAAATGGTGCTGATACAGTTCTGTGTCACACTGGAAAATCCTGTCCACTGGTGACAAGGCAAGAAAGCCAGGTTAGTTGCACATGATGTCATGGGACCTGTAGTTTCCTTTGGGGATGGGGTCTGAGGTGGTTCGTATCTATTTCTGTGGACTTCCCACACGTTGCAAGCTTTCACCAACGAGTGGCTGTTACCGTCATAATCAGAACAGAAGAGCTGTTCCAGAAAATGGACCTTGCTGACAACTCTTTTGAGGGAGCCTCGCGTAGGTCAAGAGCCCGGGATGCTGTGCTGCTCACAGACTGGCCCCTCGCCAGGCCTCCCTACTTAGCAGAAGCTGCAGGGGCCACCTGAGGGGTCTTGCTTTGGGGGATGCTGTGTTCCCTTCCCGGGCAATCCTTTGCTGCCTGTCAAGAGAGGCATCTGAAGCACGATTTCAGGGAAGCTGGGACATCAGGAGGCAGGGCAGGTGACAGAGGGGACACCCAGAAATGGCAGATTGACTGAATCCACACTGACTCAAAGCCATGACTGTGGGATCCTCACAACCGCCCTGACAGGACGTGGGTGTTGGTACTGACACTTGGCAGAGGGGAAAACAGAGGGTCTGCGTGGCCAAAACAGAGGGTCTCCCGTTGGTCGTCGGAACCGGGGTGAGAACCAGTGTCTTCCTTCTGCCCAGGGCGTTTTCAATCCTCCTACAAATTCTCACTCTACCTGTGCTGACCACCAAGGCAGAGGAAAAAGCCAGAGTGGGAGAGGGAAGCCAAAGACCCCACAGGATGACTGTGTTCCGTGGCGAGCACTCTGGGATGACACTCAACCTCTTCACCAAGCTCGTAAGAACATTCCAGATCGGAGCCCAGCCCGTCCACCAGATGAAGTTCCTGAGCAGGTAAGTGGACAAACATCCAGGTCAACTCTGAGTCTGGACAGAAGAAAATATTCCAAATGCATCTGAGGCCTAAGAGAGGTCTGAAGGTCTGAACCCGCGGGGTCAGGAGGAGCCAACGGGGTTTCTTTCTCCTGGTAGGACCCAAGTTTGACTTTTGTGTGGATTTACTGGCGTGCTGAAGGCAAAGTTCTTCAGCTGGAGGTTTGCAGAGGCAGCAGGAATACCCACTTCAGGCCCAAGCGAACAAGAATGGTTGACTCCTGGGTAGGGGGCAGCGGCCGCAGCCAACATCTCTTGTAGGGAGGGTGTGGCTTGGGGCTTCGGGGGCCCCCTCTGGCAGGGTGACACATGAACTGTAATCTGCACGACCCACCAGAGTCCCCAGAATGAACGGACCAGGCCTAAGGCTCCCGAAGGAGGCAGAGACCCGAGCACAGGCTTTGTAAGGACTCAGCTGAGACTCACGGAGCAAGAGCTCATTGTCTGCCCCCCCGCCCCGCTCCCCACATCATCAGACGGAGAAAGTTGGGGACACTGCTGCCCGCGCCACGTCCCTCCTCCTTAGATGGCCAGAGAACACTCTCTCTTCATCTCTACTTTCACGTCCTTTTCCTGCAACCCACAGCTTGGACAATACTTTTCTGTGCAACCCGGCACCGCCCCCCACAAAGTTTCACGAAACGATACTTAGTCCACAATTGTAACCCATTTTTAGTTATTTTTTAAAAAGGCCGCTGCACACCGACAAACTGGTCTCACGGATCATGAACCGTTTGTGACCGTGGTTTGAAGAGCAGAGGTCTAGCAGCGCTAACGTTTACTGAAGCCACGCCGGGTGCCGGACGCCATCCTCACAGTTCCGGTCACGACTCTCATTCAATCCTCGCCTTGACCTTGTGATTTAAGACAGCCTCCCTGGTTTGACAGGTGAGATCACGGAGGTTTAAGTCAGCGAAGGCCCAAAGTCACACTCGAAGGATGTCGCTGAGCAGGGCCTTGAACCAGAGACTGCGTGGGGCCGGGGCGTAAATGCCTGGTCACCAGGCTACGTAAGCTCAGCAGCAGAGATTCGGGGAATCCTTATGTCCACAGATCAGGACATGTGCTTCCCCCAGGGGCTTCTGCAAACACTCCTCCTTGGCTCCCGTGTGCGCGGGTGGACCCCTGGGGGCGACTCCCGACTTGCTAGGATCCTCACGGCGGTCATGCCACCGAGGACTTGTTTCCTGAGGGAGAGGGTGGGGGGGATGAAGTCTCCACTCGGGGACAGCAGACTGGCCAGCGACTGGTTTCCGTGTCACTGTGAAGGCTTTATATCCACTGAACCCCTCGGTGCAGAACCCAGGTGGACAGATGAAATGTGGAGGATTGCCGGCCAGACTAACAGTGTGGCTCCCCGTCAAACCAACAGGCTTTTCTTGTTTGCTCAGCATCATTTGCTGGGGAGGCTGTGGGTGGTGAGGGGGAGAGGGGTTCCTGGTCGGCCCACCCCACCCAGCACCACGTGGGACCGTATCACTGGCAGGCATCAGGGACCAACCACCCCCGGGGGACCCCTGCACGCCCCACGGGGACTCTCGGACTTGAGCGCGTGTCAGTCTCCTGGAGGGCTGTTCAATCCAGACTGCTGGATTTCTGGTTCGGTAGGTCCGGGGCGGGGCCTGAGAATGGGCATTTCTAACAAGTCCCTAGGTGATGCTGACACTGCTGGTCTGGGGACCACACTCGGAAACGCACGGCCTCCGGGCACCACAAGCAAGAAGATCCTTGGGAGGGATTCTAGCAAGATCTTCCTCTCTCCCCATTTCTTTGGTATTTAAGGACCCCTTCTATGTTGAGACCCCTGGCTCAGTTGGGTGGCTCACCCTTGGGGCTGATGCACTTACAAGCCCCGAGAGGAGAGGAACTTAAGGCCCGTTAGCCTGGCTGGGGGAGTCCAATGCAGCCTCCGGAAGCCTCCGGGTTCTGGGTGATGCCCGCCTCCCACAGTTCTTAGTCCCCCTCAGCAGACAGATCCCCGCAGCAGGAAGGTGGCTCGTAACTTTCTTGGCGGCCGAGCCCGAATGAGAAAGAACTGGTCATTCCAGGTGTCTCGCTTTGGTTCTTCCGAGACGA